ATTGTGGGGTGTGTGTGTCACTTTGAGCTGAACCTTCACATTAAACGTCAACATGTGTGTGTGGAGCGGGGAGAAATGAGTAGGGCGAGGGCAAAAGAAGGGGTGGTAAAGGTGCCGGGAGTGTCAGAGGTCAGCGCTATTGAAAACAACACACATCGGGCCTGATATTTCATTTCAAGCAGATGAAGGACAGAGCCTCTCCTTGGAACTTTATGGCTGCCCCCGCTTCCCACTCCTCCCCCCCCCCCCCATTAGCCACTAGCAATAACACAAAGAGCAATGGCCCTTTTATTATTAATTTCAAACATGCTGCCCGGTGGGATTGGGGGTAGGAGGAAGGGGAAAGTATTGGGAAAATACTGTCTGGGAAATTAACCGGGGAAAATGTTTTTCATTAGCTTCAGAAGGCTTCATACCTTCTGCCTGCTCTCCCTCATCCCCATCCCGCTGCAGCCTCCACTCTGTTCTGCCCCTCTCTGCCCCCTAAAAAATTAAAGAGGGCCCAAGGCAGCATCCCTTGGCTATTAATCATAGTTCTTTGTGCTGCATCCCATTCCGTTTCTATGGAAATGAAGGCTTTGCCGGAGAGCTGCCAAGGTCCAGCTACTGCATCCAATCGAACATCTCATGGACCTTGTGAGGAAGGGCAGCTTCCCCGGCAATATCCAAGAGGTGTGAAGAATATTGCTCCTTTGGCAGGCTGAGGGGCGGGGGGGGGGGGGAGTGGGGGCCCGCACAAGCAGCCCCAGCTGCAAACGATGCACAATAAATACAGATCGGTGGGAGTGGGCAAGATGACCCCCAGTGCCCTCGCCATTTCCCCAGACAACGGCTCAAGGAAGTCCTGTGGCTGGATCTCGTTAGGCTGAACAAGGATTAGGTGCCTCCTAAGGCAGAGATGGGGAGCCCCTGGATGGGGCAGGTCCTGGAGCCCCGCCTGGATCGGGGCCAGGCCATGAGGGTGGCGGGGGCTTCAACCCTTTCGTACAAATCTGGCCACACCGACCTTTCATTTGTGTTTCTTACCTTGGGAGGCGGGGAGATATAATTAACAGGGGATGGCGATCTGCATATCATTTGACCATGCTACTTTATATGGTGAATTTTAAGGTAAGCATCGACAGACCCGATGGTCAGTTGCCACTGGGGATCTGAAAAATAAGGCATGACAAGCCCCCCCCCCCCCCCCCGCCGGGCACAATGCAACTGGCTGCAGGCTGGGTCTTCACTAGAGACAGATGTGATGTATTTGCCTGCTCTTGCTAGCTTTCCTCAATAACAAACTGAAAGAAAACGGTGCTTACTGTTCATTTCACTTTGAAGCATGCGTGAGAAGAGTCCTGATGGGCCCTGACCATGGGCCTCCCTCGTCCAACTTCCTGCTTACGCAGTGGCCAACTGGTTGCCCAAGGAAGACCGTGGTGGCATTCTCCCCCCTCAACCGCCCTGCCTGTGCCTCCTGATCCACACCGGCCCAGAAAACCAAAGGCTCAGCTCGTTCCTCGCAATCAGACTTTCCTCAACTCGAAACGGAACCGGTGAGCAGCACAGAAAATGAGCAAAGTTGACGATGCTGCGGTTACTGATGAGCATCATACGCCTGATCTATCAGCTTTCTTCGGGCACATATCCTACAAGCAGTGTGTTCTTTTAGGAGCAGTCGTTCTTGGTGAAGTATATACCAGCATCAGAAGGAAGCCTATGCTATTGTCTTTTGCCTTGCATCTTACATATAATCCCAAAACGAATTTCTGCACGAAGCTCTCAATGTAACTTTTCACCTATATTGTGTGGTTAATTTGATTTCCTCCTAAGTAAACGTATCAGTTCCAATATTTTGCAGCTATTAGGAAAACTTTTGTTTCATTTATACTGCATATAACATTGACCTGGATTACATACTTGGGTTTACTTAATATAAAACATGCTTTGTATTACTGAGGGAGAATGTATGCTGAGGAGTTAAAATTAGTCAAACATGCAAAATCACATATTATTTCAAGAACTGGAATATGTTTCTCTTTTTTTGGGAAAACGCACATTACTGGGAACTGACTTCTTGACAGTATTAATCATTAGAAATGCTCCCCCCCCACCCTCAAGTTTTGAAGCACAGGGTGTACTACCCGTATGGAAGGGTACTCTGTCAGAATAGAGTTGTTGGGATACACAAGTGAATCTTCTTTCTTCCGGCAGTGTGAGAAACAATAGGTTAGTGTTGAAAATACACACTCATTCAAGCCTCTATTCATGCCACAATTGTGGGATGAGGAGCAAGTTGCAAAATCTCAGCACCAGGATCCCAATCTGGTTCAGGGGGGTTCCCCGAAACACCTCCCCCTGGTCCCAGTCCCTTTCCCTGACCAGTGACCATTTGGCGGTTTGCTGAAATCTAACTGTAAACCCTCCCCACAAAATTGTAAAAAGATTGAACTGCTTCTCCTCTTAATTATTGCCAGTAAAAGCTTTATGCTAAACTATGCTGGTATTGGGGTATTTTGGTTCAACTTCTTTTTTTCTTTTGGTCCTACCTATCAGGGGAATGCCCCCCCCAAAAAAAAACTTCTCCAAAATTTACTTTGTCCCTTGGGCTGAAAGCTTAGATAATAAAATGGAGAAAAAGTTGCTTTGAATAGAAATAACCAAACAAAAAGGGAAAGAAAAGACACACACACACACACTCCCCCAAAAAGTACACCAGCACCTCACTGCTGACTCCGCTTGGCTTCCCATCCCCTCCTCGGCGTTCCGAACATATGGTGTTGTGCTTAACAGCCCTCACCGCATCAATTGGAGACCATTAGGGTGGGTTCTTTTCCCAGTGTAAATGTTGCCGAATATAAATTGTAATTAACACCGATGCCAAAATGGCACTTAGAGAAAATAAGCACATTATTAACATCTGCTGAATTCTGCCTGGAGAGCAGCCGCTGCCGCCGAAACATCCTTTGCATTAAGAGGATTTGTGGCTGGGACTGCACTCAGAATAACGGTGGGTGGGGAGAGGCCTTTCTCTTCAGCTACCCGGGTGTCATGCACACACATGGATGTGTACACACACGCACATCAGCGCCGCTGCGCCGAGGCGCTGCTGTGCTCCAGTGTGTAGCCAAATAACCTATTTCTTTCCCTTTTAAAGAAGCAGAGCTTGCCCTACTTGGAAACACTCTTCTGTTCCCAGCTAACAGCTTTAAGGCTGGGGCACTTCTGAACCAAGTCTAATGAAAAGAACTTCCTGCACCGTGCAATTCGCTTATGGAACTCACTCCCACAAGAAGCTGCGATGGCCTCGAACTTTTAGGCGACTTCACAAGAGTTAGGCTCGGCAATGGTTATGAAAGCTCAAAAAGGGAACTCCAGTTCCTGAGGCAGCCTACCACTGTCCACCCAGGGCCATTTATACAAAGTTCACTTAAACTCTGCAGACTCCAGAAATGAAATCAATTTATGAGATTTCTAGGCGACTGTTTGCTTTTGTGATCTTTGTCACCAAGTTGCGTGAATGTTCCCTGCTTTTGCTATTTGAGGAGGGGAGGGGAGGGGAGGGAATTCAAATGAGCAGAGAATGACATTTCAGGCTTTTTCTTTTTAGGGTAAAAGGAAAGAAAATCAACACACCTGTGATACTGGTGGATAATCTGCATGTGGGACCTACAGAAAAATCTTGTAATACGCAGTTCTCCTGGTAAGATTCTAGACTTGCCTGCTTGCAGGATACTCCATGGCATCCTCTGTCCCTCCCTCGCCCCCGTTTTGCATTTCTCATGACTGCCAATGCAGCACGCTCAGCTTTAACTGCCATTTTGGGGTCCTACAAAAAATTCTTTGACTTTCTGCAAACTTGGGAAATCCTTTAAGCCTGCCATTACTTCCCCATTTTGCACAGATGGTGGCATCTTGGCAGTTTAAGACCTGGCATTTGAATGAGTTCAGTGTTAGTACATGCAAGGATATATGGTGTAGGAGGGGAGGGAGGGAGGGAAAGGAACTTACTCTCCCACACTTGTGATGCTTGGATGCAGGGTCTCCCAATGTGCTGGGCACGACAGACAAAAAGGAAGCGCTTATTCACCCAGCACACAACTCATCCCCACAAAGGGTGGCGATGGCTTTACATGGGGATTAGGCAACTCATTGGCGACAAGGCCACCAAGAGGCGCCATGCCCCCTGCTCGCATATCCTGCATGTGGGGCATCGGGCAGCCACTGCGCAAGCAAAATGCCAGGCAGGGAAGGCCGTTGGCCTGATCCAGCAAGGCTATTCCTAGAGAGGGGAATATGCGAGACGCTCAGGCCGCATCCTCGGCCTTCTGGAGGTGCTGCTCAGCTGTTCTGGCTGCTGTGAGTGCACAGGGCACGGCCCAGGTCCTTTCAAGTGAGCTTCAACCCCAGAAGGAATAGGCATTCCATGAGGAAGGGAAGGCTCCACACCACCCTTCCACAACACGGTGGCCCCGAAGCAAATGACTCACAGCCTGCTTCCAGAAGCTTCTGTTTCCCCCTGAAAGGGGGGACATGCTGTTCACAGGCCTGCCACATCATAACTAGCTGAGGCTCCAGATTCTCAGGAAATCAAACGCTGCCGCCTGAAGCTCTTAAGTTTACAAAACGCAGAGACCCCTGTCCAAGACACACCCCAGTACACATGTTGGCAGCAAAGTTCAGCACAAATCGGTATCTATGGTAGCTGCCCCGCTCATCAGTGAAAGCGGCAAAAGGGAAAGATTTCCAACAGAAAGCTTAAACAAGCATTTGGCTGGTGTCCGGCCTCAATACAAATGAACCACAGCTCAGTGGAAGTGACTGCATTTTATATGCAAAATGTCCCACAGATCAGTCCCTGAAATCCCGAGAGAAAATGACCAGGTAGTGGATGACTGAAAAGAATTCTGCCAATCATAGCAGCGGTTCTGGGCTAGGTGGACTAAATCTCTGGCTGATGGCAAATACATTCCGTTTCTCTTCTCCCATGCCCCAGGACAAAGGTTTATTAAGATAGCCAAGGTGTGAACATAAGTGTTTATATACCATCTTGACAGTAAAGCCACTGTTAATCCAAGTAACACAGATACCAGCATCACATTCAAACACACACATTGTCACAAGATACTCAAGCTGGCCCAGGACTTCAAGCACAGAGTCACAGATGGCTTCTCACCACCCCGGCCTCCATGGCCATCCATTCCAGAACACCCCACGTCACATCCAGGAGAATCAGCCGGCACTGAGCCACGGCCGTCTTCGTTGGCCGTGGCCAGCTCACCCGGCAGGACGTGGAAAGCGGCAGGGTGATTCCAAGGCTCACATAGGTCAGCGTGGCAAGCGCTGGGTGACATAACAGAATGTCCCCAAGATGGGAGAGATCAGCCCCAGGTGATCCATATGGCAAATGGTTAAACACCCGCGTGAAGTTGTGCTCAGCAGAGGTGGCATTTTGGCAAGATGGAAATAAAATGGTGCCAATCCAAGATACGATCTCAGTCACTTTGGAATGCTTTAAAAAGCACGCTGCCTGCTTCCAGGAAGCCCACTTTAAAAGGATGTATGATATGGAGCTGTAAGAAGAGGCGGTCTGCTCACACTAGCAATTTGGACACAGACCTTAATAACACCAGCCCCTGCAACAACACACAGTCATCTTTCAAAGCTCAAGGATGTTGCCAAAGCAAGAGGCGGCCTGTACATTTGAAGACATTTGCTTGAGGAAGTCCCACTGAAATGGGTGCCATACAAAAGCACGCGAAAGCCATTCCTTTCGCCTGGGCTTGGGCAGGCGGATTTCTTGGCACATTGCACCCACGCTTGAAACAAAAAGCCAAGCAGGAAAGAGAGAGCAAACTTTGGAGAGACAGAAATATTTTCGCCATTGATTTGGTGCAGCAAACATTTGTATTTTTCTATCCAGGCAAGGAAGTTGGAATTTCCCAGGACATTCTGACACAGCATATCCTGGCTGGTTCCTCCAGCACAAAAGCAAAGAGATGTCCCAGGAAAAGGCTGCTGCCTTTGGATAGCCACAGGGCTAAAAAGCCGGACGCTGCTTTTGCACTCAGAAGAGCATGACCTAACGATGCAACCATTTCTGTAAGAATGGAGAAGACTGGCTGCATTTCTAAATCCCCCAATAAATAAAGTTTAAACATATCTCTTTGCATTTACTTATAACACGCAAGCAAAGAATATCATCTGAAGCACTGAAAGAAAAATAATAAAAACAACTCAGTCCAAGAACAAGTGACCATGGGGAAAGGGGAGTACATTCAAGTTAAATTCCTCTTGCTTTTAGCTGCATTTAAAGTTAAACCAGAATGTGTATATTAAATAGCAAGGAAATGACCCAGAATGGAAGGCTCCAATGTTTTCCAATTGCAGCCCACCCTGAGTTCCTTGGGAACAGGGATGAGCTAGACATTAAAATGAATAAATAGAACTTTTTCCAGGGCAAATTTTGCCCAAAAGGCCCGTTCAGTGTCCTGGCAAGTTGGCCCTGCAGCAACACCAAAATTGCACAGCATTCAGACAAGGTGGCCACAAAGCTCATGAACGGCGACTCCCGGCCAAGCAGCAGCAAGCTTGCTCATGCCCACCCTACTCCGGCTATGCCGCCATCCTCATCCTCATCCCCACCACAAGTTTGGTGGCTCCTCAGCCACCCGGCTTTTGAACAAGGTGATCTCATCCAAGTGCATCATGGGGACATCTCGGATGACCTCTGTCAAGTCCTCGTGCAGGAGAGGAAACACGACGACGTTCAAGGCGGGCCGGTCGGCCTGAAAGCTAAATCAAACACAAGAGAGATTAGGGCTGAGGAAGAGAAGAAGAAAGACAGAGAAGGGGTCCTGGGGCTGACAGTCTAGGGAAGTGTTTGCCTTGGAAGTGGAAGTGTCAGAGTCCCCCAGCTTTAAGACTGAGTGAAAAGAAGAATTTACCTCTCCCTCAGGAAAGTTCATCCCCTGCCTTTCCTGAAAGAGTAGCTGGCATGTAACAACAAACCAGAATATGAGTTCTTGTCTTACTTAAGAGTTTACTCTTGGGTCATCAGCCAGGCCAGGTGACTGCAGAAAATACAGACTGTTTCCATTCCTGGGTGGATTCTCTTTCCCTGCTCCCTCCCCGTAGTCCCAAAACCCTTTGCAGCATCTTACTATTAGCATGTAGAGTGGCCAGACAGGGGTGAGTGTGAGAGTGTGTCCATGTCCTCCGATGCTTCATTAGTCTGGAAAAAAAGCCATAAGCAGCCCATGGTTCTGCCTGCAACCCAAAGCAACCCATCACGAAAACAACCCAGAATTCACAGTTCATCAACTAATTATGGGTTCTCTTCCAGGGTTGTTCACAGTGAACAATTCGCAGTTTACCCATAGTTTTGGGTTTGCACGCAACAACAACCCAAGATTCGATCACTATAATCAACGCGTACTTTGGGTTCTTGTAATGTGCAAATGAAGTCACTTTTCCAAGTGTGACTGGAAGACTCATCTACAACAGTAACTCAGAGGCATGAAAGAATGCCTCTTCTGAAGGTGAGAGGATCTCCTGCCTCTGCTTGCACGGGGATAATCAAACATCTTCACACCTCTAAGGCAAAGACACACCACTCCCATAACAAAGAGGGGGAGAAGGAGGCTAGGAAGTGAAACAACCAGACGGCTGGCTACTGGCTGGCATTCAAAGCAGATTAGACAAGTTCATGGGGGAGTCAGTGGCCATGATGGCTACATGCCAGTTCCACATTCAGAGGCAGCAAACAGTTGCTGCTAAAATGGCTGCTGTGCTTCCATGAGTTTCCCAGAGGCATTTGGCGGCCCCTGCTAAGAACTAGATGCCCAACTAGACCATCCGGTCATGCCCCTGTCTTAGCAGCACCGGAAGCTGCCCCAGAACCAGCTCAGGCTCTTTGTCGACTTCATCCAGCATGACTGACCGGGACTGGCAGCAGCTCTCCAGGGGAACTTTGGCAGAAGCATCACCTGCTACCTGGTCCCTTTCAAAACACGAGACAGGTGGGACCTGCGACAGAGTGTTGCAGTGCTGTCCGGCCATCCCTTCTTCCAGGATACACCATTCCATTCCTCTACCACCCCAAGACACTTAGCCTTGGGGCATGCTCAGTTCTCATATTGGATTGGGGGGGGAGGAATTCCGCAAACCGTAGGGATTCTCCTGAACTTGATAGTTTCTTCTTGTGTGTGGAGAAGGTTCGTGTTTTGCTCCACACAGATCCACACTTGGTGGATGAGTTCATTGCCAGCGTATGGCCTGGGTGGGCAACCTCCTGGGCGCAAAGGTTCCCGATGTGGCCCATGGAGGGTTGGGTGGCCTCCACAGGCCCTGCCTGCTCCCAGGGAGGCCACTGAGGGCATGGGAAGCCAGCCCCCCCCCCCCACTCAGCTGTGGGCACATTTTGGGACCCTGGCCCACATTTGCGACTTCTCCCCCCGCTTCCCCCTCCCCACTGCTTGATACTTTGATTCATTGTCCCCCCACTCAACTCTGGCTCCCTTCCACAACTTTAATACCTCCTTTCCTGAACTCCTGCCATGCTGCTAATTTTATGTTATTAAAACAAAAAAGTGTCCCACCATAAATCTCCCCCCCCCCCCCCCCCCCCCACCAACCATCCATGAGGAATGAGAGCAAGAAAAGAAGGCACCGCACCTGCAGGGCGGAAATTGCACAGGCAAAGAAAAGGACTGCGGCAGTTAAATCCATGCACAATATTTACCAAAAGGAAAGGGGGGGAAATAATTTAAAGCTGGATCAGATAGCCCACCCTGTAATGATTCCCACATAGCGAGGCAATAGGACACACAGCAGGAGCCCGAAGATACGGCATGCTGGGAGAGAGAAAGCAAGAGAAAGCGCGCACGGAGCAAGGGAAAACACTTGAGATCGCTCGCCAGAGGGAAGAGGGCGGCTCGTGTCTCTTTCGGTAGGGGAAAGGGAAGCTGCAGCTGTCGCCACTGGCCGGACAAAAGCCGCTTCCCCACACTGCTGAAACCCGGAGGCTCACTTCTTCTCCTTCAGAGGCGCACTGGGAATGCATGTGGGTGCCGCCGTGGGGAGCGCTGGCTTCCCCGGGAGGGCGGCAGGGAAAGCCAGCAGCCACCTGCCGCCACAGGAGCTGGCTCGTCGCTCTTCTGCATGCAGCAGATGCGCCCTCCTCGGATGCGTTTGCCATGGCTGAACAGCGCAATCATGCCTGATGTGGGACGAGCAGGCAGCTACCCACCCCCACAAGGGCATCACCAGCCACTATCGGGACTTTGGGTTCCTTACTACCTCTCTCAGTGGAAAGTAGGGAAAGAACGCCTTCAGCTCTTGCAAACCCGCCAAGAAAGAGCTTGGACAGGGCTTGTCTGCTCTGCTGAAGGTCCGCATCTGCAGATTTCACTGCCGCCTTTGGCCTGTCCTGCTGAAGAAGCAACGTGCACATGCTAGCGCATTTAACTTCTTGTTTTCAGCTAGGTGGGCCCCGCCGTGTGACACAAAGCCCTGTGAGGCAGCCAGCCACCCGGCCGAAGCGCGGCAGGCCTACTTCTGGTCAGAGATCAGAAAGTAAACCGCCTGGGAACTACATGAAGCCATCTTGAGTTTCATGACGGAAGAAAATTGGGATATAATGTAATAAAGAAAATAAAGAATGGGTTCCCCCCACTCTATTCCAAATTTCAAAATGCTTTTTCAACAAGCTGAGCCTGCCAGAACATGGATTCCAGTTGATGACAGGCATGCTGCATGTTATGTAAATGACAGAATTTGAACAATAATTTCCTTTGCACATTCATTTAATGTTTTTGCAGAACTTCTGAATCACAGAAAAGGCAAGAGCCCTGAAGCAAACAGCTGTGCCCCTTAATTGCTGAAAACATTCGTTTCTGAGACCTCATTTGTGCTTTGCACCTCTGCAGCCGCATGATTTAGACTTATTTGCTTTTATCAAAGGCCACTGCCTGAACTCCTCTAAAGACAATGAACATGAGAAAAGGCCATTCTTTAAACACTAGAAGTAAATGCCATTTTTCATCTCTCCCTGGGTATCCTAGATTAAGTGTGCAGCAACTGCTGGGTAATGGTTAAACCAACTCGATGGAAGTAGAAAGAAAGAAAGAAGCTGAATAGCTATTTGCTCTCATTCTGCCTTGGAAGCTAGCTCTTTCCTCCACACCTGGATGTATTTCAAGTGAGATCCACCCCCTCAGCGGGCGGCATGCCCAGAAAGCCTACCGGCATGTGGGTGCAGGCAGGCAAATGCCACAGTGCTGACTCCACTTCTGCCCCGAGGGAAGCCAGGCGGAGTTTGCAAGTCCTTGCTGCTTTCTTGCATGCCCTTGGCTCACCAAACCCAAACCCAAAAGACCAGGGTTGCCAACTAACATTCACAACTCTATTTCCTCCTTGGGAAGAGGAGGAGGAGGAAGAAAGGATAACGGGATACCTCACAGAATAGGGCACGAGCACATGGCCACTGCAAGAAGCAGCCCCTTCTCAAATTCGCTCTGCCTGTGGCACACAGTTAACAGGTGTCCCGAGATCACGCTGCTGCAGCTTTCCTAGGGGGTACAGCAGGCAAACACCTAACATGAAAAAATTGCTTCATTAGATTTACGGTTCTCTATGCTACAGAGAGCGTGGAAAGAGGGCTGCTTTTTTTCAGGAGCACCCCTGCTATTGAGTGCTCTCAACCCACAGACCCACAGTGCTCTCAACCTGAACCCACAGGGCATCCTTCCCTAAACAGGTACCCTCCAGGTGTACTGAGCTTCAACCCCTAGCATCTCTGTTACTTGGGATGCAGTCTAAGACCACTAGAAGGTGCCAGGTTGGGGAAAACTACCTGGTTCCCCCCCCAGCTACTTTGGAATCATACCATCCCTAGCTGCTGGTCATGCTGGCTGGGGATGGTGGGAACTATAATCCAAAACCTCAGGAGGGCCCCAGGTTGCCTATCCCTGTATTGGGTTCTGACCAAGAATATCCACTTAAAGGGGGTTAAATAGCATGTTGCACATCAAACTGCAAGAGATCAAGATGGCACATGGAATGCCAAGTTCTCTGTTAGAGTCATTCTGGCCTTAAGAGTTGTAGGGAGAAAAGACAGACGGACAGACTGGCAAGTTTCTTTTGAAAAGGAGAATATAAAAGGAGCTGCCAGATGAGCCAAGTTATAATTCTGCTAGGAATCCATTAGAGATCTGAAAAATAAAGTGCTAGCTTCAGCAAAACAGAAAGTGTTAAGCTAAAACCTGGAAAGAATCCCACTCCATTGGATGAATGGATGATCCAGCTTGAGGGCTGTATGTGAACGGTCCAGCGAATGCATTTAATTTAGGTAAAAGAAGGAGTGCCACCTCTCTCTTTAAATAAATGTGCTAAGTACTTGGCCTTCTGGAACATACTCAAGATTCTTGAGCGCTTCCGCTGCAAAATGGTAAATGGATCTTTACCTTGCACATTTTTGTGATCTTCTGATTGGAACAGTAAAGGTATTATATTAATATGGATTTTGGAATTGACCTTTGATAATATATCCTTTCTAATTGGCACTTGGGTTACATCAAGACTCAAAAAAGATGCTTGCCTGAAGTGAGTAAGAGTTCAAGCGGTTGGGGAGGGCTGCCCAAGCTATCGCCAGTGGAAGAGGCCATCATTTGCCAGGATAACCTGGCCAGCCTCCACAAAAAATGGAAAGCAACACACGAACCTGACATCAAGAACAATGATGTTCATCGAATCACAGAACTGTAGAGCTGGAAGGGGGCATGAGGGCCATCGGG